TGCTTATGAAATATAGTTCGTAACTCATGTTATCGTTGTTTACAGCGGAAAGAAGTTTTCAAAATTAAAATTGATAAAATCTTAACCTAAGAACAACAATGTACAAAAGAAAGGTTAAAGGGATTACCTATATTGTCAATTGAGAAATACTTATTAGAAGTTATTGACTATAAGAAAATTATTAATAACTTTGTATCTAAGAAAAGCTAAAAAAATAAACTTCAAATAAATAATTATAAAAAATTAAAAATTAAGGCCCCTCGTAAAGTTTGCCTTTGGGCCACAAAATTTGTCGGGCCGCCCTTGCCCGGTCCTCGACCCATCTAGATGGATTGTCGGTGCATTCTTCTTCCGGATGTGAGTCTCCATGAAGAACTCATCATGACTCATCTTCCTCTCCAATTTTTTTTCCAACAAATATAATAAACGTGTTAACAAAAGCTGTAGCTATACTCGCATTTTGTTTTAAAAGCAGAGTGCAATTTAAGAGATAGAAATTTTAAGTAACTAGATCCTTAAGAGAAACATAGAATAAAAAATACAACATGAAGTTGCAGGTGACAAGCTTCTGTGGTGAGTTCAACTAAAGATCACAGAAGATGAAACTAGTAGCTGGTACTACAAACAATCTATTCAGGCAACCCTAGGAAATATTGATTAGTCAATAATATACAGTAATGCATTCTAGGAAGCATAGGAAGAACATACTTCAGAAAGATTGACACAATGTGAGCGATATGAGCTTTAAGTTTTATAAATTAAGTTCCTCTTTGTTCTTAGCAGCAATAAAATTGAGTCTCTAAACTCGTTTATTTCTCCCTTTGGCAATGAGTCCACGAAATGTATATCTAGTTGCTTGTAGCGTGATATCTTGCCCTCGTTGATCTTATCCCTATGTATTTCAAGGATTTTCAAGTTGTGGTTTTATGGAGGGTGTTGGAGATGATGGTGCATCAGCGGCTGCAGCTTTGAACATTAAACCTGCAAAGAGCTTCCAGTATTACTTAGATAAAACGACTCCCCATGTACTCTATAGGTGGATTGGAACCACTGTAATTATGGCACTCCTTTATGCTCTTCGTATTTATTCTGTTCATGGATTCTACTTTGTTACATATTTTTTGGGCTTTTACATAGTCTATTTGCTGGTTGGTTTCCTGTCGCCTCTTGTTGATCCTCAGATGGAACCTTCTGATGGACCTCTATTGCCTACTAAAGCTTCAGATGAGTTCAAGCCTCTCATTAGTCGCCTTCCGGAGTTTAAATTCTGGTAATAGT